ACATTCACTTCACCTCTGATAGAACACGGCCAGCTTGCCCTTTGCGTTTCTGTGGGAATAAACTGCAAGCTAGGCAAAGGCCTCCCCGCTGAGCTACACCTCCAGCCCCCTGGGTTAGCTCTGAATCTTTGCATTGCCTAACTACATTGAGGTGTAGGGCTGATGCATGATATAGGAAATTTCCTTCCTGTAGAGATTTAATTTTAATTTAATTTTATTTTTTTTGCGGAACCAGGGATTGAACTCAGGCCGTTGTGCTTACCAGGAAAGCACTTATTCTACTGAGCCATCTCCCTGGCCCCTGTAGAGATTTTAAATAATGCAGACGTTGCCCTACTCCTCACTTCTTCTTGATAAGGTCCCTATCCCAAACGTCCAGCATTTCACACCCCGCTGGGAAAGCCTGCTGAAGTGGGGGACCAATTGCTTTGGGTGGGTGTGGCCTCAATCAGGGATTCTGGAATCCCTGGTTAGGTTTTGAAAATCAGTCTTTGGACTCGAAGCCCCGACCTGTGGAATCAGAAAATCTGGTGAAGCTGGGGTGAAATAGGGCTGGACTTGTGATTTCATCATTTTCTCTGGGAAGAGGGTAGCCCTTACTCAGAGTTCAAGGTTCGTCATAGCATCGCCAACTCCACCGGAACCTAGGACAGCCCGCAGGGCGCCATGGTCAGAGGTCTGGGCATCTGACTGCATATCCAGGGATTATGCACCCATAGTTAGCCTGCACTCTGAAGACTGCGACAGGTACAGGACAGAGCTGCCGGTAAGCATGCTCGCCCTCGCGAGGTGTTAGGCGGCAGCTCACTAGACCCGTTAGGCTTGAGTAGCAGGTGCAATGACACCGTCCTGTAATCAGCTTCTGCCAGCGCTCTCCATCCACAAGCCAGAAACTCCAATATTTTTGCTTCAAGGCTATAGGGGCCGACGGGTGCCCAGGTGGGGCGGACAGACCTAGGAGCTGTCCTAAGAGCAGACTCCGGTGTCCCTCCGTCCCCAGCGCGACTGCCACTGCAGCCCGGGCCGCAGCTCTTGATGTAGGAGAGCAGCGTTCTGGCTCAGGGTTTGCAAAGAAGTTACAGCAGATCAGGCCGGACGTGGGCGGGATTCCCCCCCCCCCTTCCAGGAGGAATGCACGAAACTTAGCCAGTAGGAAAATTTAAAGTGGGGAGAGGGCACTAGAAACGTCCACTGGCCCCTCCTCGCCCCAAACAAGGAAAACAAAATCGTCTTCTTGGCTAAAAATACATATTTAGAAAATCCCCGCTCGCAGGCGGGCGGCGCGCTCCTGCTGCCGGCCTGGCCCGGGGAGGACTTGGCCGCGCAGCCGCCGATTACACCCAGCACGGCCGGGATGGCTCCGAGCCGTCTGCCCTGACGTCAGCGGGACTCTGGCCCCGCAGCAGCGAGATAGGCGAGCGGGCTGGGCGCGGGCGGGCGCGGCGCTAATCGCTCCCAGATGTCTCCAATAGCGGAGATAAAGACGGACAGAGGGGCCGGGAATAAATTTGTAATCAGGGCTCTACCATCTGATCATCAAAGAGGCCCAAAAGCCGGGAGAACTTGGAAGCCTGTGTATATAGGGGGAAGCGTTTGGGACGAAAGGTAGGGCGCGCGCCTCTGGATAGGAACTGACCAGGGCAAGGTGGGGCGGCGAGGAGGACAGAAGTTTCTAACTTCTGTGCGCACAGAAGTCCGATACTCAGAGTACTATACTCTCCATTAGCTGCCAGGCCAAGCCGCCTAGCAGTGGCAGGCTTCTTAGAAGTGGACAGACCGCTGCAACGCTGTACGCCGGCTGAGCGATAAGGCGGCGCTCTCAGAACTGTCCGGCCCCCGGAAACGTAGGATTGGTTTCCTCTCCCAGAGCGGCCCCTCTCTGCTTGTCTCTTTTTTAAACAGTTAAAAAAACACATAGGCGTGCCCCCTCCCCCCACTCCCTCCAGCAGCACCGCCCTGCACGGAGGAGGTATTTTAGTGAGGGTTGCTGAGCCTCTAGCTGGTTCCATTCCTGGCTCCCGGGTTTTTCTTGATGAGAGACCGGAGGGCTGGAACAGGAGTGCTGAGCGTCAGACAGGGAGACTCATTAGCGCCCCCTCCTTGTGCGGAGATCTGGATCTTAAAAGCTGGGCCCTACGAAAGGAATGTTTGCCCTAGGGTCAGTGGATTCTGAATTCGGTAGAGACGTAGCGCCCAGGGTCCAGATTTAGTTCTCTATGGGGCTCAGCCTCAAGCCTCCCGTTTGTAGTTCAAGGAGCGTGGGTGGGACTTAGGCCCAAGAAGGAGACACGGTGTTAGATAGTTGTGGAAGAGAAAATGGTGAGCTGCTGGAGCAGCTTTAGAACCAGGCTTGGTTAGAGCTCCGGGAAAGGTTTCCGGCGGTCTTGCCTCTTCTGGCATCATGCCTTCTGCTCACTGCCCCTTAAACGCGCACTCTGGGCCACTGCAGCTCGTCTGGGTTCCCTCTGCAAAGCTATGGTCTGGGAGAGATCGTGGGCCTCCTCCAGCTCGCGGTTGCTTTGTTTTGGGGCCCATTATCCTCCATTCCCCTTCCTGCGAATTCTGCAAGCCTCTAACTGCCAGTCTCCTTCCCTAAGAAGCTAGTAGCGCTGAGATTTTCCTCTATTGCGGACAGCAGCCGGCATTCAGAGGCAAGGAAAGGAAACTGGGCCACCATCTGCCCCAAACTCACACGCACATATTTTCTAAGAGGGCTGCCCTCCTGGTGCCACTGCTGCAGCCATCTCCTCACTGAAGCAAACCAAGCCACGGTCCCCTCCACCCAAGGGCAGCTTAGACTAGGACGCCCACCTTGGCTAGATGTTCGGCCCCACCACCTGGCCCACCCGGATTTTGGAGTGCCCCCACCTCCAGTTTCCAGCCTGTGGCTTCCTTTAGAAGGGAGTCTCTACTTCAAGCGATCTTGCTGTCCCATGAGAATTCTCCACTTGTAAAAGGCAGAAGAGCCGCTGTCAGTACCGGATCAGGGGACAAAAGCCTTGGAAAATTGAGACTACGGGCAAGGAGTGTGACAGCCCACACTGGGGACTTTGGCAGACCGTTTCTTGAGCTGAGAATGGTCTGCACATGAGAACCGGCACCCATAATGGCTGATCCCTCGCCCGCTGCTGCTCCAGGGTTATCAGGCTTTTGGCCTGCGCAGCGGTCTGGGGCCGAGCCCTGACAGCCAGATCTACCATCAATTTACCTTCCGCCGCCCCAGCTTCCCATTTAGCTTTTAACGTCAAATCCTACATTTTTGTCGGCTCCGGCCTGTCTAGAGCGCTTGTGATTTTGCTGCAGAAGTGATTGCTCTTAACAAAATGGCAGCAACTACATTATCCAAGCAATTAAAACAAAGGCCTTTTAGCCGGTCGGACAAGCAGGAGATTGGAAAGTGTTTTTTTTTTTTTTTTTTTTTTCAAAGAAGAAACATAGTTAAAAGAGAACAAATTGTGTAGAAAAGGAAAGAACAGAAATGCAGAAGAAATAGTTATTTAACTGCCTCAGAACTTGGACAACGAGGAGTAGGAATGCTGGGTGGCCAGGAGCCTTGGGATATGTGATGTGGGATACAGGGACGTTGGGAGGTCGGTCTCCCAAGGGAAGGAATAATCTGGGTGTTGTGATGGTTGGTCTTTGGCCAGTTGAATTATGTCTCTAGTTAGCCACTGTGGGATTCGGCCAGCAGCCATAGGTGAGGAGAGCGATTAAGCCACCATCTGCCAAGCAGGTTTGGCTGCTTGAGGTGAGGGACAGGGGTCTGCTGGGTTTCTATACAGTTGAAGTTCCTGGAAGGTGGACCTGTAAAGCACATGGGCTAATGGGCTTGGTGCTGCTGGTGGGGAGGATGTTACTGCCGCAGGAGAGAGAAGAGGTCGGCAGAGCTTGCTTCCTGTCAGACTAAGAGCTTGGTGTCTGGAGTACAGGTCACAAAGTATGTGTTTCAATAAGCAGCTGCAGAACAGTGCACCAGGATCTTTGGGTTCCCTTCTGCGGGTGCCTAAAAAGCTAGAAAAAGAGTTAAAACTAGCACAAGTGCATTAAGGCCCAGGTGGGATGACCAGTTCCCAAGGAACCCACAGGCACATGTGCGCAGTGAAGATAACCTTTTCTGTTCTTGTTTTTTAAAAACAGTTTCCACTACCATTCCACTCACCACTTTCGTGGACTGCTTTCTTTTGCCTCTAGGACCTGGAGTCTTTCTCCTAAGTGGATAAAATAAAGGAGGCTAAAGGCAAGAAAGAGGGGGAGACACTTGGGCAGACAGACAAGGGTTGAGAGACCAACTGAAACCAGGGCGCGCCTCCCCCCACCTCCCAGTGCTATAAACAAAGGCAAGTGTCTGTAAACACAGCCCCTTGCCCACCAGGTCTGCTCAGCAACCGCTGACCTGTAGGGAGAAAGTTCAGATCGCTTTGGCCGAGTTGTTCTAACCCCGCGCCCTCCCGTTGTCAGCAGCTGGCAGAAGTACGCAAAGCCACTCGCTTGTCTCCCTGGGCCACTTGGAATTCGCCCAGACTGGCCTGATAAAGCCTGTGCAGGTAGGTAATCGGGTCACAGTAGGCACCAGCAAGGCTTGGGAACCCTCGGGATATCACAAGTCTGTACCCAGGGCGAGATGCGAACATCACCTGAGGATGGGTTTCAAGATGGAAACTCTCTGGCAAGTCTCTCTAACAAGAGATTTATATAACGCAGCATTTCATGGAACAAACCTCTTTTTAATATGTTTCACCTTTCTTCCTCCCCTTCCCTCTTCCCCCCACCAAGCCTGCAGAGTTAGTATTTTATAACACTTCAGTTTCTCTGATTTCTAGAGCAGAGTCCAGCTCCAGCCAGTCTACAGGGGGAAAAAGAGGCCGCAGGGACTTTCTTCCGGGACATTACCGGACTCTGGGACACCAGAACTCTGACAGGATGAAGTCCTCGGCTGCTGGAAGTTGGGTTAGCTTGCAGCTTGCTCTGCCGGTCAGACTCCAGACACCGCACAGTTAATATTGAGTTCCTTGTAGCTCCTTGTAAATCTAGCCCACCCCATGCCCCCCTTTAAACCTGTGGTCTTGTTCACAATTTCTTACTTGACGTAAAATTCCTTGTTACCTAATCATACCGTTTTTTCAAAAGCCCTCCACCATCACCAGCCCTGCCTGCTCTGAAGAGAATCCTCCCAATCTAGGTTACAATCAAAACCTTCTCTTTCTCCCTCCCTTTCTTTTCCTTTTATCCCCTATATTTTAAATCAAACAGTCTACAGTACTTCCTGAGGGTGTAATAATGCCTGGGATTCTTCTCACACCTCCTCCACTGAAAACCTCTCACCCAACACAAATCTAAGCCCCCTCCCCAGTCAGGCATCTGATTAATTTCAGGAAAGTAAAGACACTGTTCCACCCTCTGAGACAACTGAGGATGTGCCTAGGGTCCAGAGGCTTGTGCAATAGGCGACTCATTGGCCTCCTGGGAGGCTGGGGCAGAAGGAGAGAGACAGGCCGACAGGCAGGATTTCCATCAAAGATACATCTCTTTAACAGTGCCTCCTCAGCCTCACCGGGACAGCCACCAGTCATGTTGATGGATCGGAACCACTGACTTTCAAATAAAGTTAGAGGCAAGTATGATAATTTAGTTTACTTCTGAATATTTTAAATATTATGAAAACAAGTATAACAGCTTTGTTTTCAAAATTCTTTTGAGGTATCAGCCATTAAAAGATTAGGATTTTGTAAAAAAAACACACAGTGGTTTATTGAATACTTACAACGCTTACACCTTCAATATTAATTAAATTCCATTTAGTTTTAGAGGACGGAAGTGCACAAAACAAGCAACTGTTGGAAACATCTTTGAGTAGGGAATGATCACATATGAATGGACAGCACTAGTTACTGACCCCAACTGAAATGTTAGTGGCCCTGTATTCTGTTTTGAAATAAAATTTTATAATCATCAGGAATATTTATATCCAAAGGCCAGGTATCAAAGATATACTTCACATATGCACTAGTGTCTGCTGTTTTTATCTTGGGAGGGGCTGGTTAGGTGAAGAGGGACATCGGTGGTGTCTACACAGCCAACAGGGGACATTCACACATACAGAATCTACCAGTCGAAGGGATCCCTTACCACATGGGAGTGTCCTCTTCATATTAAAATATGGAATGCTTTTCTTCAAATATCCACTGTTTTGGAGGGAAAGGTAGGGGAACAGATGCCTCAAACAGGGGCAAAGAGAGGGGGACGAAAATTGCACATAAATAAACCGGATGATCCAAATGCGAGTAGTCCTCAGAGCCTCAGAGCGAAGCTGAGGGCTGGTCTGGAGTCCTGGGTCTGTGTCTGGCACACCGGCCCCTGCCCACTCGCTCTCTCCTCCTCCTCTTCTTCACTGTTTGAGCTCCAGGGCCCAGACGTGCTGCGGCCAGCCTGTCCGGCCTTTGGTTTTCTTGTCATTGCTGCTTACTGTGCTTTTCAAAATTTCATTCTGGGTAGAAGGAAGGCGAGAGCAAGAAAAAGCGAAGAGAAAATCAGAGAAGATACCTGGTCTCAAGCCACTCCCGTATTTCCTGGGCCAGAGGAGAGGGAGGAAGGGAGGGAAGGAAGGCTGAGAGGAGAGATGTTCAAAGTCCCAGGCCCTGCTGCAAAGCGAGTTGGGGCTTGCAGCGTCCTAGCTACCACGGAGGCCTCTGCGCTGCAACACTCAACTACCAGATCGGCAAGTTTATAAACAATCGCTGGTTTTCGAGTCATTTATGGAGGAGCCCAGGGTCTTTTTTTCAGACTCCAGATGTAGGGGTAGTGTGTGTGTGTGTGTGTGTGTGTGTGTGTGCATGTGTGTGTGTGTGTGGGCGCTAAATATGCCTTCTGTTTTCAATAGCAATGCCAGAGCTACATTCTAAGAAAAATGGGCGGAAGGCCACACTGCTCCAGGCAGGCAGGGCCTTTCAGCCAGGGGCTCTCCGCTTCCAAGTGAGAAGCTCCTTGAAGGCCTCAGATTTCTGGGCATTCCAAAAGGTCATTTGCTTATGCAGCCACCAAAGGGTCAAATGCTCAAAAGGAAACAATCTCAGGAAATGGGAAGAAAGAAAGAAAGAAAGAAATGGGATTATTCTTGGGGCATACATGGCAATCACCTGGCGTCCTCAACACTACTGCATTGTGGGCACTTGTTAGGAAACTAAGGGAATTTTAAATGGCTCCGTAAAATTTGGTGTTACTCCTAATAATAACAGCTGTAGTGATATTTAAATTTTGTCTTAAAATGTATAGGCTTGTTCAAATAAAACATCACAGCCAAAGAGAAACCTGAGCTGTATTTCGAGGTTCAAAGTACTTATTTAATATTTACCTTTATGTCTTTGGGGCATAGCAATAAGGGCAACCATGAAACTCTCAAGATTCAGAATTAATGGCTACCTGGCGTTTGGAGGGTGAAATAATGGGGACCGAGAGCTTCTTTCATTAGAAATATCAGACAGCAAGGTCACATTGGAGGGCAAAAGAAGGCTCTCATGGGTAAAAAGTGAGGGGCCCCGCCCAAGCGTCTGGACCAAGAATTGGGAGGCTCTGCTCCTCACCCGGAGGGTCTGTCAGAAGGGCCAACCATCTCTCTTAAGACTTCCCCTCCTCCTGCTGAATCCTCCCCCATCTCTGTTTATGCAGGAATCCATCTCTAGCACAAGCTGATGGAATCAACACAGCTAAAGAACGAGGGTGCCACCTCTCAGCCTGGAGAGAAGCTGGGAGACGCGGCCCTCTGAACCCCACACCACCAACCGCCCCCTGCCCTTGATACTGACCAGCTCTTTCTTCCGTTTCTCCTCTTTCACGTCTGTTTTCTTGATCTCCGCCTTGAAGGCCTCCGCCTCGCCGTTCTGGTCGTCTTTGGCCAGCAGGTCCATGAGGTAGGCGATGTAGCTGGTGGCCAGGCGCAGCGTCTTGATTTTGGAGAGCTTGGTGTCTGCGGGCACGTTGGGGATGCACTCGCGCAGCTCGGCGAAGGCGCTGTTAATGCTCTGAGTCCTGCGCCGCTCCTTGCGGTTGGCGGTGCCTCGGCGCTTCACCGGGCGCGGCCCCCCCAGGCCCGGGGGCCCTGCGCCGGGCGGCACTCCCCCGTAATGGGAGTGGTCCAGGCTGGCGGCGCCGCTGGCATACTCGGGGCTGTAGGACAGGGCCATGCTGTAGTCGGGGGGCGACATCTCGGGGTGACCGATGAGCCAACCGTGGAAGTAGGGGTTCTCCTCGTGGCTGCAACGGCTGGCTGCAGCGGCGGCGGCAGCGGCGGCGGCGGCGAACGGGTAGCCCTCATGGTGCACCACGGGGTGGTGGGGAAAGCCCCCCACCAGACTCATTTCGCTCTCCGCGCCCCTCCACGTGCCCCAGCGTGCTCGCAGCCCCACCGCGCCCTCCGCCCGGGGCCCTGCTTCGGTGCTCGGCGTCTTCCCCCACCCCCCACCCCCCAACCCCCGGGCGCCCGG